ATTGACTTTTGTTTTTTTTCTAAAGATATAACCCAAATTTATTTATTTATTTGTACTTTTAGGTGCTTGTGGAGGAAGGTTGTTCGGAGGTTGTTATTCAGCCTGTGTACTTTAATTGATTGCAGCCTCATTTGGTGATTGTTAAAGCACTTACCTTGTACCCTACTGCATTACTGCCTTCCAGTTCTGTGAGGCCAAAGGCTTTTTTGAAGCTTGGTATAGACACGGTATCTTGCTTTTTTTTGTTCCTGATTTTGTAATGATTTTAGGTTATCTGTTCTAAATTGATTACCCCCCTCCCATTTTTAAATCCAACCTGGAGTTAAGGCACATATGTGAAATAAGTTTTCAAACGAAATGCTTTTTCAGAAGCCAAAGCATTGTGCCAGCATTTTTTCCTATTCTCCTTTCAAACTTAGATAATGACTATATGCGATATTACTCTGGCATCGCTAAATTAGAAATGTCATTATAGCAAAATTTTAATTAAACTCATAACCTTTAATTAAAAGCTCCCTTTTAGAAATTAGAATCTGTCATGTCACTTCCTGCAGCCTTGCAGCAGCTGCAGCGATCTTCCTCCTTGTTAAGGGAAGGAGGGCAGGCATGCTCCTCTCAGCACACGCATACATTTAAGGGTTGTGTGAGATGGGTACGATTTGGGATCACAGGGCATCAGCAGATAGCACGCAGGCACTCTGTAGGTAGCGCTGCCCTGATGCGCTGTGTGACCGCTCCGCATGCTGGCAGCGTGCTGGGAGAGCCCCCCAGGGAGGTGTGCTTGGCAGTGCCGTGTGACACCGAACTGAGGGACTTGCAGGTGTTTCTGGCACGTGCACAGTGTGCATTTTCAGCAGAAATGTCTGTCGTGGATGCAGCAGGCCTAGGAATAAGCGATATGTGTACATACACGTGCATATTTACATGTGCAACGCAAACATGTTTTACTAGCATGTTACTCCCCTCTAACTAGTACCTTTACCCTGAAATGGTGCAAAGCACTTGTCCTGTAAAGCCTGTTAGGAGTGAAAAACAAGGAGAAACCTCGTAGACCCTCAGCCGGCTATAACAACAGCTATTTCTGAGCAATTCTCGTCCTCTCACCCATAAAATCAGCATAAAATTGACCTAACATTGCCAGATCAGATGGGGTATCTGCAAAGTAATCCTCAGGGAAAAGAAAATTCAGTCTTTGTAAATCTGAAGATAAAGTGCATAAAGTTGCAGAATCGGATTATACTTTCTCTTTTTATTTCTAAATCAGTACCCTTTTGTTCCTTCCTCTGCAGCACTTGTGCGGAGTTGCCACAAAGATGTCAGATGCTGTCTGAGTCCAGCTCCAAAAGCAGAAACAAACATAATCTTTTGAAAAAAGCCCAGTCCCTGACTAGGATAATTATCATAAAATCCTAAGGCCTTTTAGAGGTGTTAGAGTTTCAGAGAGCGGAAGGAATAGGAAGAATATAGTAACTTTCTTTTTGAGGCACAAGTCGCATCAGATTTTTTTACTTAATAGAAGTGTTGCAAGTACCTACTCAAATAGCCACTTTAATAATCCATTAATAACAACAGCAAAACCCAGCTCAGGGCAGCTGGTAAAGTCTTAGAGTATATTTTTTTCCTGTATGTGTAGCACTGAGTGCCTTTTTGATTTTAGTTAGGAATATTTGCTTGATTGTTGACTATTTTGGGCTTTCAGGAGGGAGTACTCAGAGCATCGTTCTCCCTGGTTTAGGTTACATGAATTTAATTGCCTTCTCATAATGTATTAAGCCTTCTTGCCTTAAAGCCAAAGAAAAACAAAGAGAATGAAAACAAATGTTACACCTGCAGTTCAGTGAAGTGGAATTTCCTTCAAGGTTCTTGTTTTTATTATTTTAGGTGGGACTAAGGCAGTACCAGGGAGCAGTACCTTATATGAAGTGTAGATAGTAAAAGGAGAAGGACAGTAGGTTCTGGCTGCAGGTTTTGTGTCTGCTAGCAAGGGAGGGCACTGAAAGAAGTTAACGGGACGTATGTATGTCATTGCCAGGAGGTAGAGGGTGCTCCTGTGAGATGCTTGTCGATTTGTTCCAAGGCATTATTCATTTTCTGACCAAAAAAAGAAAAGGTACTTAGATCCAAGTTTTGCTTAATTCTGAGATTGTGCTTTGTTCCTTACTGTGATATTTTAAAATTAACCTTAGAGGTTTCGCTTTTGCAATTGACTTCCTTTTCTGAAGACTGATGTTACACTTCCACGAAGAACAGTGAAAGAAAGTAATTGGAAAATTTCTTGTAGATTTAGAAGTTTATGCAATAACTATTTTACAAATTGAAAGCATCAAAAAACCCACACAACCCCCTTTGATTTTGTTACATGTCGCTAAACTATTCAATAACTAACTGTTCATTATGTAAATGCAGTTAACATCTGCCAAGCTGATCTGTTTCATGTCTAAGAAAATGAGAGCTTGAGACTGACATTGTCAGTCGTGCTTACTGCGAGATGATCAGCTCACCTATTGACAGAAAATAGCTCTGAGCTCTTCGACAGAAGAACCTGTAGGTGATAGAGCAAGAACGGGGCAGAAGGAATGAGCAGTAAGGAATGGGACTCGCTCATAACCAGCTTGGATTGCAAAGGTGTGAGGCAGTGCTGCTGCCCGGTGAAGCTGGCCTGCTCTCTTCCCCCTGTAATGCCCTGTCCCCCACTTTTCCTTCCTCCTTCTGGTACCAAACCAAGGTTTTTGGGGAACTGGTCTAGTTGATGCAGACCTGAAAAAGCCCAAATGGCTGGTGTGAACTTGGTGGGTTCCCTGGTGCGGTTTGCAAAGAGCTGGTGGGAGGAGTGCTGTGGGATGGCTCATCTGCAGAGAAATTCAGTATTGAACTCTTTGTGGATGTATGGCCTTGGGTTTGCAAGCATTTTAAATATGTTATTTTTGATTCTGCAGAACAGCTTCTTAGCAAGTATTTTCTGAATTACTTACCATGCAGAATTTATCTGTGAAGGCGTTTGCTGTTCCTTGAGTTTATTGGGGATCACTGTTTACCTGTAATAACTTCCCGTTGCATGATGCTAAATCAGTATAAAAATGAGATCACTAACAGCACAGACACTGAGACCCTCAGTCTGCTCACTACACAGACATGTCTGTGACTTACGTACACAAAAAGTAGGGAAAAAGCTTTTCTGCTTTAAGTGATAACTGTACTTAGTAGGTCCTTTAGTGTACTTTTAGCCTGAGTGCTCTTCTCACTTCTCTCCTTTTCTATCTGCTTCCAGAAGTTCTCATTCCCCTTGGTAGGTGGAGGAAGATTCTTCGTGCAAAATATATAAATTTTCATAAAAAAAAAACCAAACAGCTGTGGAAGCCTCCCCAAATGTTCTTAGGAGCAAAAATCGGGTTATTTGATTATTTATTACAAAAGGCTTTTTTTTTTTTTTTCCAAAATAAATTAAATTTAATCAAAATTCAGTCTAAATTAGGTTGAGTTGATTGTCAAATTAAGCTTTGCAGCATGTTCAAAGAACATTTTCAACCATTTGTTTAACACCTGGACCAGGGTGAAGGAGGGGTGCTTGCTTCAGTCCTCAGCTTCTTGTGAGCTGTCCAGTGGCAAACGCAGGCACAGCAGCTGCGTGTAGGATAGGAGAATTTGAGATCAGCAACTGGGAATGAAAATACCATCAAGGATGTTTCTCCTTGAAAGCTTCAATTTGCAGCAGCAACCATATGTGGGAAGATGAAGAAGGGTAGAAACGTCTGTGGTTTGCCAGAAGTGGAGGAGTCTCCAGTTCTGATGTACAGCACAGCAATAGGAAGGACGTTTCTGATTTATCAGGCAGTGTTAGCTCTAGATGTGAGAAATGGAAATCCAAATGTTTCACAGACATCGGCTCTTCCGAAGACAGGAATCCCAGCAACTCCTGAGGTAGCCAAAAGGTTGCAGTTCTCATCAGGCAGCTTCCCCTGGCTCTTATGAGCAGCTTTGTCAGTTTTCCTGCCCCCGGGCACCTGGAGCTGTCGTCTGCAGTGTAGTGAGTGCCCGGAGTGCTTGCCTGGCTTAGGCTAGGGCATGCCTGGGAACTGGGGAACTCATGCTCTTGTCCAGGTTTGACATGACTTGGGTTTCACTTTTAGGAAGACAGGTAATGTCACTCTTTAGCATGTGAGCAAACAGTTCTGCTGATCAAAATCATATGAATTTGTGAGTATCTGTGATGCAGATTAAACAAGATAACCCAGGGAATATATTGTGTTGTATGATATTAAATGCTTTGGGAGGATAAAGAATATAAATCAGTTTTTGTTGAGATGTTGTGGTTCAGATCATTGTATTAGATACATTCACAATAATATTATTTGTAGATTAATGCATAGCCTAAATAACAACAGATTGGTTTGATAATCTGATTGATATTGATTAGTATTTGATAATAATAACATGAAATATTCAAAATATAATAGGCTAATGAAAGCTTTCAGATATCATGAAAATGCTGACTTTAAATGGCTCCTAACAGAAAAATATTCCAATTTATCTCTTCAATCTCTTCCTTGGGAGTACTGGTTATATTGGTACTCTTTTTAAAATTACAAACGACCCTCTTCTCTACCTCACAGAGATCTTTTTTTTGTTTTCCCCTTTGTATCAGTTCATATTGCGATTTTTTTTTTCCTCAAATGAAAAGAGGTTTTATATTTTATTATTTCTTAATTAAATTAAAATGTGAAAATTGAGTACATGCTTAAGAAATTAAGTACTCAGGTCAAAAAGAAGAGTTAAATATGAAAATACATTATAACCTATGGTATGTAAAACAATAAACAGGGTTTCATAAATATGAAATGTCTTTTTAATAATCCAGTATCTTCCTCAGTTTTTTTAGATACATTTTTGTACTTGCCTCAAAGCTTGAAGCTAAGCTGACCCTCTCTTTAATATTAATGTACTCTGACTGTAATACTCTGTTCCTTTGCCTCTGATTAATGCTGTCTGTCAATTATTTACAGATCCAGTGGTACTGTGGAAGTTCCCGGAGGACTTTGGAGACCAGGTTGGAAACATGAGATTGAACTTTTTTTTATGTTAGAATAATGATTAAAAAAAAAAAAAAAAGTGTTCCCCTATTCAGCTATAGAAAGGCAGATGCTAATGATAGCAGTAAGGAAGTCTTCACCCAACTGGTGGCTTGGTGATTAGATGCATTTGTGACAGGAATATGCAATAGTAGATTCTGAGCACTATATATAATACTGATTCACTGTATCACCCTATTTTGTAAATTGCTTGTTTTATAAATTGTTTCTGTTGAAAGTGTTGGGGTTTTATCTGTTTCAGAATTGAAAACATGGAAAATTTGTAAACAAAACTTTGCTATTCATCTCAGGAAGCCAAATGTTATAAATTGTATCAAAAAAAATCAAAACAGATGAAGAGCTTTGCAAGGTTTTGTATGTCCTTTTAATGTCAGAACCTTTGCATTCCATTCCTTTGGTCTTTTACAATGCACAATTTTGTGTATTTCTTTAATATTATTCTAGAGCTACTCTAGTTATTTGCTTGGGGCAAAAAAAATTGTTAGACACTCATAAGAGATAATGCCCAAACTTACTGAATTTGATATCGTGAAAACCTTAGTTTTTAATCTATAATTAATCCTCAAAGGAAAGTTTACACATACAAGGCTGACAGATTATTTCACTGCTTACAGTAACGGCGGAGCTGTTATTTTTGTAGTATTTTTTTTCTTAAACGACTTCTACTAAATTATTAATAATAAAAACAATGAAACTTAGGTATTATTGCTTCAGCAACTTGTGGATGAGTTTCTTCAATTGAAAGATTTTAATTTTTATAAAGAAAACACATAAAAACACTTTGCAGAATAAATGTTTCTGTCTTTGCTCTTCTTTTTAGACCGATAATGAGTCCAACATATTCTACATTGGTAATATCCTCACAGTAGATGATCTAGAAATAGTTTTGTACACTAGATCCTGATTTTTTTTCTTTTAAAATCAATAATACAAGATTCTATAAAGACAGCAGTAAGGTGATTCATGATGAAAGGAATAAATATACAAACATAGAAGGTAGAATGTCTGGTTAGGGAATAACATCAGTCAAACGTGCAGCTTATAAGATGGTGATAAGTGGAATATGAGGAAAGCATGCTGTTATATGTTCTTAGCTCAACATCCAGCAAGTTTTGATAATTTTCTAAGCTGCAAGATGATCATCTTCATTATGATTTAAATTCTTCTTCTCTGGTTTGTTTTGTTCTTTTTCTTTTTCATAAGACTTCATAAGACTTGATCTTAAAAAAAGGAAAAAAGAAAAAGAGAAATTATGTATGAAGAAAAATGGGAGCTTATGCAGTGAGTCGAAGGTTATTCAAAGAACAGCTGGTGTAGAAACATGATTAGAAGGTGAAGCCCACTGAAGACTGGAAGGGAATCATATAAAGATGCAATAGACATACCTAGTCTAAAAAAAAAAAAAAAGAAACAACAAGAGTCCTCAGGCAGTGATCTGCCTTCAGGCTCTGAAAAACCTGCACTTATCTCGGTGGTATTAGGGAATCTAATATTTCAGGTAAATTGCTTCTGTTCCTGGAAAACAGGATGTTTTAATCCTCTTCCTTGCAAAGGAAATTTTCCTTTTGGGCTCACTGGATTTGAGCAGAATATATAGCAGCTTCTACAGCAAACTTTTGAGCCAAATGCTTGAGCGCAGGCTGTGGAAGCCTTCTGTGCACATGTGTATGTGTACGCATGTTGAACTCTGTAGGTTTGGGCTGAAGATCTGTATATCTACCAGATCCACCTTTTTTTTTTTTTTTTTTTTTTTTTTTTTTTTCCAGTGAGCTCTCGCAAAAACTACCAAGGTTATTTTAAATGAAAGTCTGTTGGGGAAATTATTATTATTATTATTTTAAACGTTCTCTATCCTGTTTTCCTCTATCCTATTTTCCAGTCATTTCTATTTTAAATGTAAAACGTGTGAGTTAGTTTTTGGATGTATCCCAAGGAATCATCTTTCCTAAAATCCAAGGGCTGTCTGTTTTCACAGCGATGTGATAACAGCGGGCAAAATATTTTCCTCTCTTCCTGAATTTTTCTGCAGTTTATCATGTCACCTTTTTGTTGCTTTCACAATGCAAAGAAAACTTGTCTAGGCTATTTTGATATATCCCTCCTCTTTCTCACGTTCTTCCTCTCAGTATGCCTGAAGTTTCCAATGCTTGCTTACTCCTATACCTCTGTCTTATTCTTGCAGCCAGTGTGTAGTACATCGTGACAAATTGTTGTACTCTAACAGCTGAAAGAACCATAGAGTCACAAGTTACTGTTATACTGGCATTAAGGCTGTGAGCACAACTTTGGCAATGTTGAAGCAATTCTGAGCAATCACTGCAGGAAGCATTTGAGGGTTCTGGATTTAAGCATATACAAGTCTTCAGTTTGAACAGTTATCCTCAGAAGCACACATCGGGTTGAGGAGTTGGTTGCAGCCATTTAATGGAATATTTTATATTTAAAATATATTTTGAATATGTATGCCTACAGGCTCTATCTTGTAGTGTATTCAGAACTCCCCTTGGGCTCAATAAAATTTTTATGATAAGATGTGTGTATTCATCTTGAAATTCCTCTTTTGTTTATTCAGACTGGTTACATTGGAGTTTAGTTTCAGCCTTGCAAGCTGATTTCCAGAAGAAACCCTATATAGCAAAAATTATAACCCTGTAAGTTATGGAAGAAAAAATCTAGTAGTTCTTAGAAATCAAGTATTTTCAAGTGCTTTGGAGAAGCAAAGCAAATTGAAACAAACAAACAAAACCTTTGCTTCCAAAATGAAATACTTCATGATGTTTAAAAACAGAATTTGTTTTTAAAATAGTGTAACTTCTCAATCCCACCCAACATCTATAAATGCTGGCTGTGTTCTCTTGGCCATGGCAGAAGCCCTGTTGATGGCAGATGTGTCTAGACACCTGCAGTCCTCTGTTTGTAGCTCTTCTTCAAATAAAAGTGTTCAGGATCCCAGTAACTTCATCAAGCTGAAGTGTTCCTGGGAAAGGAGCTAGTTCTGGCACTGAGGAAAGGATGGCAGGAGGGTGCTGGCAGTGCCAGAAGGTGCCAGTGTCCTCTTCCAGGGGCAGTGCAGGTTTCTGGTAGGTAACGCAGTGTGCAGCTGGGGCTGCAGCCATCAGCAGGGACCGATCCTTTACAAGGGCAGTCTGTATGTGTATGCACTGCACTGTAATCACAAATTCAGTTCACTATTACCATGTGAGATTGTGAGATATCTGATCATATATGAGATACGCGAGATTTTTCAAGCTTTATTTATTTATATTTTTTTAAATGTTTATATTTGTGAAAGATGGGAGATGGGACAAGGATTGAGGGAAGTCTGTATACCAGGGTTTTTCTTCCCTCTACACTAGGCTTCATCCTAACCCCTGTGTTGCCTTAACCTTTGAGGCATTTGAAGTCTGATATTTCTTAAGAGCAGTGGCTATTCTGAATATTATTATAGCTGTGTAAGAATTCAGTAGCTTTTTAATCTGGCTAGTTACTGGCCAAAATTGATTTCCACCTGCAGTAAATCCTAGAATCAGTATATGATGTACTGAGAAACTGATTCACTGGATGGATTTTTATTCTTCTGTCTTTATAGTCACACAATTTCTTCCCTTGGTCTGCTGCTTCTCTGCTAGTGAAAGACATCACACCTAGAAAGATGATGCAAATAGCTAATATGGCAGGAAACCAGAACCCACCTTAGTAATAGGAGATATGACTAGGGCTGGTTGACTAAAATTACAGATTAAAAAAGAATCGAATGGCTGCATTAGACTGTTGATTGCATTGCAGATTTTATCCTGTCTTCTCTCACTCTCTGCTTTCTTAGGTATGCAGACTAAACCTGCCTTTTTGTCAGGCTTTTCTCATACCCTGCAAATGAGTAACGCATAAGGAATATGGCATCCCACGTGTGGCATCTCTTCTTTCTATGAAGTTACACTAACATTTCTCATGTTGTTACCTCATATTTTATATCATGTTTTCTGGGTTTTATTTTCAATGTAGTACATGATGTGCTACAAAGTTAAAAAGTCACTGCTGAACTGGGAGCAATAAACCTCAGTCCTTAATCTGTGGTAAGCCAACTACTGAAGCCAGATATTTAAGTTTATACACATGCAAATCTATCAGTTTCATACACAAATTATATTTATATACAAATGTATATACATGCATGTCTGTAGATACCAGCTGTTTAAGGCTAAATCTTGTGTAGTAATAAAATGTTAGCCTTCCCTCAGCACAGCACTGGTCTCACACTTTCCTTTGAATGTATGCATTAACTACTGAAAGCTAAGCCTAGTTTAAATGAATGGCTGATGGGAGCCCAAGTGCTAAATTCCTTGCAGGACTGAGTTCTTAATTGCATGGAAGATAACAGCAATTATATAAATAAGGTCAATATGAACGAGATTATATACTTCTTTTAAAGATTTAAAGAATACCATAGGTTTTATTTAAAAAATTAAAATAAAAATCAAGAAGCCTGCTAAAGTCTCTTGTCTGGGTCAAAATAATGTTTGGAAGCCAGTTGTAATGATTTTGTGTTCCTCTGTGCTCTCCTAAGAGAACAGCATGAACCCAGAAGGTACGAGGCTGTTTACATTCTTTTCAAGGCTGCAGGCATGCTGTTAGGGGATGCAGCTCACCGTCTTTCTGCATTTGATGGCTTTGTTCTGTTATTCTGATGAGGCATTAAATACATGTTTCAAATGTTTATGTTAATTAGATAGGTACTTGCTGCTTGCTTTTTTTTTTAAATTCAATTTATTTTTATTTTGTTATTAGTAAATCCTAAAAAGGGTTTTAGGATTTTGTTTTTTGTGTATTAATAAGTTTGATTCCTCCTTTCTCCTGCCAGTGTATCCAAATGCTAATCAATCTAATCAATTGCTTCTTTTCAAAAGTATTTTGGTCTAAATGTTGCATGCTATTGTTTATTTAAGGATATTTAGGAACT